CGCACGTTCGTACCGTCCCCCGTAAAAAGTTGGTAGAACTCCTAACAGCCTCTCGAGATTGTGCAGCCTATACAACGCCGGGAAACTCGTCCACTATGGATGCGACATTCGACCAATACAATCTCTGAACCCTTATAACGATCTACATATGTAGGACGTTTACCGATACTACAGCGTCACCCATGCTAATCTGGAACGTCCTAGATTCATCACAGGACTAGTTCTTAGAGCCCATCTTCATCGTGAACCGTGTCTTCGACCATGCAAAAAAACCGTGTCAATCAAAAGCCGACCGAGAAGAGGTGGAAAAGACAGTACTCGCAGAGAGAAATCTATAAAAAAGTCTGTCCTCGAATCGATCGTAGCACGAAGTGGTTCATCACAGGGATGGTCTCATCATATGCAGAAATGACATTCATCTCCGATGCCAAGGTACGGAAGGGATACAGTCTTCAACGACAAAGTTGTTACAAGAACAGCAATATAGTGGTTCAGGAAGGAGGTAGGGCAATTGCAAAATGTCGTTTTTCACGATGGTACTGGTGTGGAAATTGACGAAGACGTGAAACAAACAACTTAGTGATTGCTGCAACGAAGCCTTGATCCGACTCCATTCCTGAAGGATCCCGCGATCATTCCAGGAATAGCACTCCAGCTAGCAGGGCCAAGCATCCCGAATGTGAAACCGGCACCAGCTGCCAAACTTCACTGGTCTCGACGAGTGACCATCCTGTTGACCAGAATAGTGCAAAGGGAACGAGGAATACTCGAAAAACAGAATCTTTCAAAAAAGTACCAAAGTCAGGATTCGGTCGAGAAAGTGGCTATAAAAGTTTCATAGAAGGAGTATCTGGTGTTATGGCCCACAGCTGATTAGAGTATGCAAAAAATGTTCAAAATTTTTTTCATTCCAGGTGATCAACGCATAGGTGGTTTTACTCTGCACTTTTCTCTTGATTACTTTACTGCTACTCTAACAGAATAGGTATTCAGAACAATAGTCGTTCAGTCAGTTGGTCACGAGGAGTAGCAGTGGAATAAGAGAGTATACGAAAATATTACATAAAAGCAAAGACGATGATCTGACTGATTTTCCACCGAAGTCACTCCAATACAAGAAGCCCTTTCATGAGGTAAATGTAGCAATGCGCTGGAACATGGTGACACGGCTTTACTCAAAACCCTGCTATCCCACCATCCCACCTACGACTTGCTTTGTAGTTGTCCCCTATGAACACTCATTGTTGATTTGAAGCGGTGTCCAGTGGAAATGACTGTCGTGCAAACTTATCCTTCCAATTTATCCGCTTATCTACAGAGGCAGGCAGATAGGTCCGCTTGTTTTGCATATGATATTTACAACTAGATAGACCATCAAAGTGTGTCGCAAACTGACCAATTCGGAAGCTCAGGGCCTCTCGCACTTTCCCTTAATTTCCGTGTATGGCACTCTGTCGTGATAAAACAAAGCTTGATTTTCACGTACAAGGAAGGGCCGCTTCTCTAGACACTCAAACTGTAGAAGGCCATGAACTGTTCTACCAACACCCTAAAATTGGAGCTCATGGGCCAGGTCACAAAGTTGCGGCTACGTTAAACTTTGGAAATTCCATGCTTCACGGAAGTTCGAGGTCCCTCGTAATTCGACATTTTTCGTATACCTTTATCCGTAGCCAAGAATTCTGACTTTTTCCATCACTGTTCATTGTCGAAGCATCACGAAGAGCGCCTAGCTACCGATGAACAGAAGACTCTCCTTCACAGGTTTCGCCCTTTGTGAAAACTCGACTTATTTGTAGCGATGACACAGTACAAACGTTGATAAGCTGAGTAGGAGAGCAGAAGTAGTCCATTGTTGGGGTTCAAAGATTTGTGCAATAACCAGTGCTTTTAGGATCAATAAACTGCTATAACTGGTACTGAAAACTCACTCCCTTGCTGTAGGCGGGCAATCGGGTCCCAACTTTTTGGGTGCACTGGTTTGCTATTCTAGTGACCAAATTTTATCATCGAGAATAGAAAAGAATTTATTTGTTTTATTAGGATCTTTGATAGTTTACAGAAACAGAAAGCCTTAGAGAGAAAGAAGGTCTCTCATTTCCCTTGTTTAAAGGCACAGTTCCCGATTACTCAATGGGCGGGAACGTCAATGGCTTTCCCGCCTTTCGATCGATTTACGTCAGACGAGTGTCGAGACAATACAGGTTGCAACTATTCGTTCTAGGACCCACACACAATCAGCTGCTCACCGAGTGATGAAGCGATGTTTTCCCCTATCTGTTTTTCCTCAATTACTCTTTTTGCTGCCGCGATCCCTTATTTAATTTGCTACTCCTATAGGTTGAAAGAGGTGAGCTACTTTTGCTGTAACTAGGGCTTTTTGTTTACTTATGCTCATAATAAGCGAATGAATTTTCGCTTACCATAGTCTGTTATTCACACCAAGACCCACATGCGCAGTGAGACACATTGTATAGCTCGTCCAAACGCCTCACTCTTCTTCATTTTCCTAGACTCATTCTCGTCCAGCCCCCTTTTTAACGGTTTTTCGAAGCCTTTTCTCTTTGGAGACATCGATTCACGCAGTTTCTACACCTTCATCGCACTATTTTCCATCTTATCTTCCATTTTTCTTCATAACCTGGATTACTCAAAATTATCGTGAACTGTGCCTTTAAAGCAAGGAAGTATGCATTTGTTACAGCCTGACCGAAAGAATCTATGAGAATTTCTTGGCATCGCCTGATGTTGATATTGCAGAAATAACATGATGTGTAAGATTCATTCGAAAAGATGAGAAATAGGCAAGCGATTGAGTGAAGAAGCGAACCAAAAAGTCGCTCATGAAGAAAGTGTGATGGGCTGGCAGCATTGCTTGACAGAGACCGCCGATGCTTCGCCTGAAAAAAAACCTTCATTTCACAACCGTGGAACGGTGCTCTGCAAGAAGGTGGCCACTTACCGTGTCTTTACTGGTTTCTGGTCCTGTTTCCACCTTGCATAGTTCCATTTCCACCCTGCATGGTCCCATTGCCACCTTGCATGGTACCATTCCCGCCTTGCATGGTTCCATTTCCACCTTGCATGGTGCCATTTCCACCTTGCATGGTTCCGTTTCCACCTTGCATGGTTCCATTTCCACCCTGCATCGTCCCATTTCCTCTTGGTTGGGTTCCATTCCCTGAATTCAGATTGATAAGCTTTGTTATGAGTGATCGCACATTACTTTTGACTTTGTTCAGCCAACTAACGAGGAAATTCCGAGATCACTGACCTGAACCTGTGCCATTTCTCATTTCCATGGCTGAGGTAATTGCTGAAAACTGATATTGGTGAAGTGCTAACTATTTTTTGATACATTTTTCCTTAGCCTTTGTCAAAAAACCGTAAAATGACGCTTTCTTAAGAAACTTACTCAAAAAGATGAGGACTAGATGAAGCATGTTGTAAGGACGGGCACGCTGCTCTGATTTCCCCTCCACACTCAAATCTTTTATACCGTCATCCGAATACCGTGCATAAGAAACTATTTGAATAATCTCAATGTTTACAATGACGTTTTGAATGCTTGATTTTGTATAAAGAATATTGCTGTGCAGGTCTACATACTGGATTAGCTAGTCTCGACTTTTGAATAATATAAACAACACTTGCAACGTGCTACCAAAAATAGTTACTACAAGGCTAAATCTGCAGTAGATTTCATACTAGACATCACTAATATAATTCACTGAAAGACGGTTTGTCACTCATTAGCTAAGTCAATTGAGTTCGAAGGATATATTCTGGACTTTCGCGGAACTGCTGCCGATTGTGCCTAATTTCTCACATACTATGGACGATTGCTACCTTTTCAAACCTCGCTGTAATCAAGTTTTGCAAAGGTCAGTAGCAACACAGAAGTGCGTTTCTTGAGTTTACTGGGTTGAATGCTGCTCCTTTTATCTTGGCTTTGCAACCACATGGATCGATCGTCGATATTTCTTGTAAATGCTAGACAAGATTCAATTCTCATTGGATCTTGTAGTGTAGACGTATTTAGAAAAAGACTCAAACATAGTTTTCAAATTAGCAAAATCCCGAGGCGACCTCAATGAACCCCAATTTACCATGCGCAGTGCATTTGACTTCCATTCAAAATGATAATATTGAATGCGTATCTGTCTTATACACTGACTTGAGGTGGCCAGATGGTCTACAATTCGGTGTTCTTATCCTCCCAGATGGGTGTTGTGACAATTAATCGACCCAGAAAGCATGGAACGCTTGATTTTCTCGAGTTGTTAACTGATGTAAATTGTGTTTTTATAGTCTCAACTGCTAACTCGAATGATGTCTGACACTTGAACGGCAAAAACTGGTTGTCCGGTTCTGTCTGTTTTCCTATATTCGAGTTTATTCACAGCAATATCAGTATGCAGTAATCAGTGATCAAAAAAAAGGGCAGAAGAGCGCTAGACACTGACGTTGAGTTCCTCCCAATTTTCGACAGCAAATTTGAATGTGAAAGGACAATGAGAGGACGGCACGCCAGGTGGCATTGCTACCACACTAATCACAACCTAAAAAAACTCAATTATCATAGCCCATTCCTCCCAAGAAGGTAGATGATATTCGGCTTCACTAGGACTGGTCAACGTTGTACATAACCTGTTCTTTAAGAGTGTTCATGGGTTAGGAACACATTCAGAATACCTCTGTCGTTAAGAGCAGAATTTCAAGGGTGGGGAGGCCTAGAAAGATTCGTTTCAGTGTCTGAACATCTATTTCTCAATAAATTAAAACTCCCGCTATCAAAAAGCGTTGTAAGATACTTATGGTCAGCATGAATTTCACACTCCCTCGGACCTTGAACAGTGATGTGGGTCGAGGCCCAATTAATGACCAGATAAATAAATAAATAAATTTGGCAATCAGAACTTCCCAAGTTTCTGTATCACCAAGATTATCAGGTGAAATATCAAATCGTTTCAAATGTTCGTGCGTGTAATTTTTCATGGCTAAACTTTATTCCAAATAAAGCAATACTAATGCACAATATATGCATCACCCTTTTCAGCAATTTGCTACCAACGGCTAGGCAGTGGGTGGAAGCCTCGTCTAGGAAAGAAGTGCTGTTTGAAAATGGAAAGTGTAGTGAGGTCTTTATCGAGACTTTCAGAAGAACAGTATCTCTTGCTTGCACGACTACTGCCAAGGAATGAAAGTCGGGGCTAGATCAGGGCTGTAGGGAGGGTGCGACAATAGTTCCCAGCCCAGTCTAAGGATCTTGAGGTGCAGCGTCTTCGAAACATGTGGTCTGGTGAAGTTTATTTATTTACTTATCTATTGTCACAGTTGACGAAAAGGAGAGAAGCAAAAGTAGCATCAAATTAACAATAGTATAGCATATATAT